GGTGGGCAGATTTAAACGGAGCAGATGGAGGAAGACTGACCTGAGGACCTCCTATTGCGACCGATCGGTGTCAGCTACTTGATCGTCGGGATCTGTCCGACATCTGTCCTACCAGGAACGCTACGAACGGAGGAAAGGGCATCGCTACTAGGAGCGATCGGACGCTACTAGGGGCTCCTGGCCGTACTACTAGGAACAAGAACGCTACGAACGGAGCAAAGGGCATCGCTACCAGGAACAGTCAGTAAACAAAGAATGATCACCTTTTTTGAACAAGGGCTGGAGTAACCATCAGGGCCCTGATGCCTCTATAGAGAAGAAGGATTCCAACAACCATTGTTTTAATGTCTTTATCTACCAACCTTTTTCTAAGGGCTTTAGACTACAAAACCAGGTCAACCAATTGTTAAGTGGCCGAATGGAAGGCTTGGGATATGCTTCCAGCTAGGACCAACAAATGGTTGACCTGGCTTCCATCCACTCAATATGATGGTTAACCTTCCAATGACCTGGGCAGGCTCCATATGATTCTCTTACAGTATTCGATCCCCCAATGACTCCTTCGGACATCCTTGGACTTCCTTTTTTTCAGCGTTGGGTTCGCGTAGACGGTTGATGGATGAATCAAGTCCCCAGATGCTCTTTCACAAAAATAGAACCAACTGGTTGACCACTGAACATGAACAGGGTCCACCCTCTAGGTGATGCCCCACATCCATATTTACTGTAGATGTCCGAAAAGGAAGGGTTGGAATGTCATCCACAAGAAAGAGCTTTTCCATGGTTTTCCTGTCTTCCAGGTGGCTCGTTCATCCCATCCTCGGGGTCTCCGCGAGGCCGTGTCCCAACCGCGTGGCTTCCGCACCAGGTCCGTCGCTTCGCACAGGACGGCAACATGGCCAAGGCCGAGGCGGAGCGGGGGCGGGGGCGGCCGAATGGGGATGGCACGGACGGTGGTGGACCTCAAGCACAGGTTTGGGAGGTCTTTGGGTCAACCGGTTTCTTTCTTGTTTTGTTTGACGACCTCGTGGAGGTGGGGAACGAATGAGACTAAAGATCGAGTTTTTTTGCATATCTTTTGATGCTTTTCTTGGGGTGAAAGATCCGTGGTTTCTGGTGTCACTGGTCTTGCCGCTCAGAACCAACCTGCCAGTCCAGTCCGGCGGTTCCAGGCCTGGTTCCAGAAGATCCTTCAGGCCTGGAAGAAGGAGAGAAGGAGATGGGACACTTGCAGGTCAGTTGGCGAACAAGCTCCATTCGTAGCAATGCCCTGGTAGCTCCGTTCGTAGCGGCCTCTACCCCATCATTTTGCCAGAGCATTGCCATGTACTTGCAAGTTCTGATCCACCTCCACTTGTTTCGGGGAGGTTCGTTTGCACTTGTCCTCTGCTGCTGGTGTCTGACGTTTGGATGCTTTTCCGTGTATTTCTTTCTATAGCTCTAAAAAGAACCTTTGGGACTATGGCCAAGTGTTGAAGGTTTTCATGGGAAGCCCAATGTGCTGGCACAATCGCGGTCCAGGCAGGCTTGAAGCCTGGAATCTTCCCTTACACGTCGCTGGTGAGTCGGGGACGCCAGGAAAGACGGATAGACGGATGGATGAGGGACGCTGATTATTGTTCTTTCGAATTAAATCCATCTGTGAGAAGAACTTCAAGTTCTGAAGAAATTTTGCTTTCTCTTGTGGTTCGCGAAGAGGTTCTTTCTTCGCAAATCGGAAAAACCACCGTTTGGCACCTCTTGACGATGCTTCTTCCTCCCCCAATCGGGATGGTGATGTGCATTAATGTATACTCGGTCCAAGCACAACGCTTTTCGACCGAAGACTTCACCGAACCCCGACTCGACCGACTCGCCCAGGTGGCTTCCTCCGTCAGGGCGATCTGAAGAAGGCGGAGGATTGGCTGCAGAAGTCTCGCCAGGCGAGCGAACTGCATGGGGTGAAGGCCGTGCCCACAGGTTTGGACAGGTGCGGTGCCGCTGATGGCAAGCCAGTTTTGGATCCCAACGGTGGTGTTCAGTATCAGCCACCTGGAACAGTTTGATGCGGTGAACCAAACCCTCTTGGATGCCACGCTCCTTACTAGTAAGAAGAAGCTACTACATCGAATCGCTTGTTTTGGCCGGAGGTGCAGCGCAAGTAGCCTCGGACGTTCACGGGATTCCTCCCAGTGCCGAACTGGAGTCGAACCTCTTCGCCTGCGATTTGGCGAAGCGACCCTCGCAGGCTGGATTGAGGTCTGGAGCCTGGTGGAAACGTCGTCGCTTCTCTTGGCTGAATATCAGAGGCCCCAAGTCCTGATGCTAGAGATGCTCGATTCATGTTGAATTGTGTGGACTTGGTTTCTGCAAGCAACCTAAGAACAGGAAGCTACTAGTAGCACAGGGCATCGCTACGAACGGAGGGATCGGACGCTACGAACGGGGGCGCTCCTGGCCTTACTACTAGTAAGAAGAAGCTACGAACGGAACAAAGGTCATCGCAAGCAACTCACTTCTGCCGTTCATTCGAATTAGACGTTGGGACCTTTCGCGGACTCGAATGCTCTTGGGGGACTCGAATGCGGGCTGAAGTCCTTGGAGCGAACACGAGATCTGAAACTAGAACCCAGACATGAGCCCTGTCTTGAGAGGAAAAGATCCCCCAGTATATAGGTGGTTCGTGATCCGGTCAGTACTCACTCAGTTTCGAACGGGTACGGTCCGTGAGTCCGTGACTCATCCCTTTTCAACTTCCCAAGGTCCGACTCCGTCATGTACTCGGCCCTCATCGATGGCTACTGCAAAGAGGGAAGTGCGGGGCCGCGTTGGCGGCGCCTGCGGGAACGAAGACGAACCGAAAGAAACCGGACGGAATGAAAAACCAAAGACGCTTGCCGAGGTTCCATAACCCGTCCAGGTGAAAATGTTTGACCCAGTAAAACCCGGTCCTTTACCCGGAGTAGTGTCTTTAGATGACCAAAGAGATCAGTTCCTGACCTGTAGGATCTGTAGGATAAGGTTTTTTGCTTCACTTCTACATGCCAACTCTCTGTGCCAACTCTGTGCCCTTCACTGCGCCGTGCATTGCGCTCGGCGCGTTCCGACGGACGCGAAGGCGGCGACGGACGCCAGGTGATGAAGGCTTGCGCCGTGCACAGGAGCTGCTGGAGGCAAGTGGCGAAAGGGGAGGGCGAAGAAGCTCCTAGTAGCGTCCTTGCTCCTAGTAGTAAGGCCAGGAGCCCATAATAGCTTCTTGTTCCTAAGAGTTCAACCCAACTTTCAACGCACCTTGTTTGACATTCTCGCTATCTATACACTATTTGTAACCTAAGCCGCTAGCGTTGATGTTCAACCCAACCTTCGATCAAATGTCAAACCTGTTTCTTTGTGGGAGAGTCTTCTTGTGCTGTGGTTTCGTTTAAGTCCAAGAAGCATCCCATTTCGTTTGCCCAAAGCATTGCCATTGCTTCGTGATGTTTTCTGTACTCCCAGGTCACAGGCTAGAAAGTTTGAGCCTTACTCGCGTACTCGCCCTAACAAAGTAAGAAGCCAACATTGAAGCCACCTTTCACAGACCCTTGTGTTTGTGTGGGTCGTTTAGAGTTGCAACATCTAAACTCGTAAACATCCCCATCCCCCATCCGTGAGTGGACATCCTTTTTTCCAACAAATCCGTCCTTCTTGTGTTTGATTTCGGGTGATCTGGGTGAGGTCTCCTGCCACCGTCTCCTGCCACCCTCAACCGGACCTGACGTCCAGGTGATGGGTCGACCGAAGCACCGCCTGGTGACGAAGCTCTTGCGGCGCCACGCCGAAAGGCGGAGTCGAGCTGTGTGGTTTTTTGGGTGATGGCTGGCACAGGGGAGAGGTGGAGGTGAGCCCGTGGGCTGTCCAAAATGGATGAAAGAATGACTGACACGAAGATGGAAAAGACATGAAAGGAAAACGAGAACATTGGTTTCAAAGTAACACCCCAAGCTCAATCGTCTTCAGCGAAGCAAGGTGCGTATTCAGTGCACTTGCACCCAACGAGATGTTTCTTCCAAGTTTATGTGTCAGGAGTCAGGATCGGCTCAAGGAAGGAGAGCAACTTTGCAGTTGCTACTAGTAATAAGTGCATCGCTACTAGCAACACGTGCATTACTACTAGTAACAAGAAAATACATGAACACATGAACTATATAGTAATGCCGCAATGCCCTTGGTACTAGTAGCTTCTTGCTACTAATAGCCATGCCCTTGCTACAAAAAACGGGATGCAGTGATGTTAGGATTTGTTGTGAAGATTTCTTTGTTTCAGTTTCAGGCCAGAGAGACTTCCTTTTTTTGGTGCACAGTCCTGCAGTTGGGTCGGTTGCAGACTTGCGACTTGGTTAGTAGACATGGAATGGGGCTTTCCCTAAGAATCCTTGGGCTCTCCATCGCAAGGGTCCAGGCCCGAACCAAACCCTATTTGTTGGTTCGGGCCCGGATTCTTAGGGTTAGACATTGTAACAGAAAGAAGCAGTTCTGAACCGGAAGACCATAGTCGAATTGAGACAGATGGAGTCCTGAACTTCCTGACGCACCATGGCGAAGATGTGTCCTTTGGGCCGCAGCTGCGAAGTTGGCTCGTCCCAGTTCTCACTCCATCCGACCATCCCATTCTTCAAGAGGCAGCATTGATCACAGACCAGTATCCTTTGCGAACGAGTTGGCTCCAATCATTCAACTCAAGGATCCACAACTCAGTCTTCGGCGCCCATCGCGCTACTTGACTGATCACCGAGGTTTGAGTGAATCTTGGTCGGGAGAGTTAAACAGAGGTTGACTCTTTGAAGCTCCGAAGGCATCAACGATTTGCCTCACAAGACTTCTGAAAAAAAGCACGAACGGTCCAAGAACAGAGGATCAAGTTAACTTTCCGGCAACGTGGAAGTGTGCTGAATCCCAAGAGCCATCCGGATCATCCACACAAAGCTTCAACCCTCTCACAAGGCCTCAGCTCGACACGACAAGAACACTACAAGAACCTCCCCGGAAGGACTTCAGCTCGGTTGGCTCGCTCAGCTGCCGCTCATGCCGTGGCGCACGCCCGTTCGGTGCGTTTGCGGCGCGTGCGGCGGCGGCCAATGTCCGTGGGCTTGCGGCGCAAGGAGCTGTGCGGGCGTTCCGAGTGTGTTCCCATCCAGGATCGAGTGGAAGCTGCTAAAGTACCTAAGTTTCCCTACAAATCTAGGAACCAAATGAATAGTGCGAGCACTTCTTCAAGGAATCGTGAGCTATCCTGCATCCATACTAGTAGCGTACTAGTAAGGTACTTTTGACTCCATACTAGCTAGCTACCTTGCTACTACCTCTAGCGGCCTACCCCAGAAGCTACTAGTAACCAAGGGCATCGCTACCAGAAGCTACTAGTAACATTTATAGTCGCGATGCCCTTTGTCACTAGTAGCTTCTTGCTCCTAGTATGGCCAGGAGCTACTATAGTAGCTTTTTGCTCCGGTGAGGGTCTAGTTGAAGAATTTTCCCTAGAAAAAAACATGGTTTTTGTATTTGAAAACATTTGTTTTTCATGGTTCTAAGGGCCCCTGGTAGTTGGTCAAGTTGGTAGCTGGCTTCTTGCGGTTTTGCTCTTCCATAAAACCACCTGAAACACCTGAAGCTCGTTGTACCCCTAATAGACCAGTGAATGATCGATGTACGTTTCCGCTGTGAGAGATTCCAGTCTGCGATCGAAGCATCGATCGCAGTGGGCAGAACAATAATTCTGCCTCCGTGGCATCGGACAATGGCTGTGGGTCTTGAAAAAGGTGGGTTGACCTCCCACTGAGAACAGAATAGTTAGCTACTAGTAACAAAGGGCATCGCTACTAGGAGCAGGAAGCGACTATCTCTTCAGAGAGTCATGGACGTAGGTAGAAGCGAATAGACTACCAGACATGGTCGGTGAAAGAATAGCTCCGGGTGCTCTCCATTACAGCGGACGTTCTCTCCAGAAGTCCGATGTCCTCTTCACGGCGCTTTACATTTGGGCCTCGGCCACGCAATCCTTCTTGCGCCTCGGCGAAGCCGGCGAAGAAGAAAGAGTCGGAAAAACACCATGTCACGTGCGACCCTTGTTCTGGGTTTTTGAAACTTGAATGAGGCATCTGAGTCGATGTGAGGAATGAGGGGTACAGCCGTTTTCAAGGGTCTGCATGGAAGGTTTTCAGGGGTCAGTTGTGCTGGGTCAGGCAGAATCCATAAGTCACTGCGAAAGGATGACTTTGCCAAGGATTTCTCTCAGCAAGACTTCCGGAGGACAGATTTGCGTCGCCGAGGGGAGGACCATGTCACCGATCCAAAAAACAGGTTGTTTCTTGTTTTGATCAAGCAACACAGAGAGGGTGTCACGACTTAGGCTTAGTTTGACAACTCCACGTTTGGTCGCAACGGCCATCGAGTTGTTTCGGGGGTTGGGCAAAGCCCCTCGTGTTGGTTTCGACCATCGTCAGCTTCACTCGTCTCGAACGAATCACTGACAATTTAATACTGTTAATACAAACTCCTGATCAAATCGCAACATGTTGAGCTGCTTTCCCTGCCAGGATTTGCATACGATCCCAGTTCAGTTGTTTGCTTACAGGAAGGCGCCATGTCCGCATAGGGGACAGCATTGGGAAACGCTCGCAAATACCCTGCCGGAGAAGCCATCGTCAGCAAGGGGAAATGGATGGACATTCATGATTCTCCTCATTTTGCAGGTGCCACCTGCTCGCAAACGTTCGTGTGCTCTCGAAGGGGAATGTGAGATACAGAAAATGGATGAATTGTGGGATAGACCCAACTACTAGGAGCAAGGACGCTACTAGGGGCTCCTGGCATCGCTACTAGGAGCAAGGACGCTACTAGTAACAAGAAGATACAACAACGACGACGCGTCGCCTCCCACGACTCCCACCGAAACGTGCCACCGGTTGTAACGACGGTCCTCGGTGGCCCAAAGGATTGAAGCTTCTCACCGCAGTGGCGAGTGAGGCCGGCGAAGTGCGGCGTCGGGCGGCGTGCCATGTGGATGAACGCTGATCCCCTCTTTTTGAGGTGTTTGGATGGTGTGGGTAGACAATCCAACAAACACATCCGCGAGGTTTTTTTGGGTCGTTCTTTTTTGGGGCGTGGAGGTCCACCAGAGTTTTCTGGTTTTCATCCCTGTCAGACAGCGACACTTCGATGAATGATCCAGATGATCCTCTATTATTCAGGTGGTGTTTGTGAGGCCGCAAAAAAAAGGGAGGTGCCAACTGGCCTACCAACCGAGGTTTGTATACCTAGAATCGAGATATGACTGTTGTTTTCACAGGAAAAGACCCCAAAATATATCCCAAATGGAGCAGCCCATGACCCCTGTTTTCCAGTTGACTATGTTTAAAAAGTCGATCTGACTATTTGATCCCAGTTGAAAGATCATGTCCCGTTCAAGCAGTCGAGCCGGACTTCGGCAATTGAAGTTGGAGAGGCATGCTTTTTTGAATTGATTCCAGTCTATACCTCTGATCGCTCGCAGATTTGTTGTTCACTCGGCATGTTTAGTACATTTGCCGATAGAACCTGAGTGACCCCTAGTTTGGTTTGATATTTTGCTATCAAAGATGCCTATTCGGGTTCGAGGTTTACCATAGTTTACTACCTCTCGTGCTTCCGTGTCCACGCGAGAAAGCGGTGAGAAGCCTAGGGTGCCGTGTCCCTGAGGCTTTGAGCCCTGCAGCTGTGTGGTTTACCTTTTTTTGTCTATTGCGGGCACCCTAGTAGCGATGGCCACTACCTTTGTAGCGATGGCATCCACCTAGTAGCTTCTTGTTGTAGTAATGCCAGGAGCTACTTAGACCTTCTTTGGGGTCTATGGCGGGCACTCCATGTCCTAGCTCCCTGTCGGAACCTATCTCCATTGCAATTCGAGCGCACCGGTTCAGGGCCTTCCGGAACTTCGGGCGCTCGGAAGAAGCGGGTCACTGGCCGTGCCGGCCGTACTGGCAGCTCTGCATGGCCTTTCGGGCAAGAAGGGCGGCAAGTTGGGGGGTGTTTGGGGTTGAAAGAAGTAGACCTCTGAGGCAACGACCTTTCCGGAGGGTTAAAGAAGAAGGACACCTCTGAAGACCCCGTTGGGCACCAAACCCTCCAGATCGGATCTGTAGCCGCTCAGAGACCAAGACGCGGCTGATGAAACTGGTGCCACTGACTAGTGGCTGGCGCGATGACTTCGTACGACTTCGATTGCCCCCAGTCGATGGATTTCCAGTGTCTGGATCGCTCCGCCGAAACATTTCCGCAGCGAAATCAGAGGTGCTCATGTAGCTAGTTGGTGGTAGACTCTAGGCTAGACTCTAGCTGGCTCGTTCGTGGTCTTTGGAGACTATAAAGCCTTTTGCTTCACCGGCTGTGGCTTTCAATCAACGCCTCTGAGGAAACTTGGCCGCTGGGCAGCAAGGACGGGCGAGGATCAAGGGGTGAGTTTCTCCGTTCGTAGCGATGCCAGGAGCCCCGTTCGTAGCTTCTAGTTTCGGATGGGCACCATGGCTAAAATGCAGAATTCTGCTGTGGGGGAGACTTTGAGGCACCAATCTGCACGTGATCAAGGAATGAACTCAAAGTTTGCCTCTGTCCTCAATTCATTCACAGCTGTTCAGCCGAGTTGCGATGGAGTTTGTTATGACATCGCGGCTTCAACTTCATGATTGTGCCTGGCGCATGCAAACCCACCGCCGACGGCCTTCCTAGTCGCCCCCAACCCTGCTTCCAAGTCCGCAATCGCCAGAGCTGCTTAGTGACTTCATTCCTGGGCAAGGGCTCCCCCAAAGAGATGAGATCAGCAGGAATCCTTGCCCCGCTTCTGTGCCCAAACTTTCCAAGAAAAAACAACGATCCCAGACTGCTCAACGACGACGAAACAAAGGTTTCACGACGTCGCCTGAAACAGATGGCCGCACGCCCCGGATGTTGGATGACCGTATTCCGAATACCCAACAGGTGGTGGTGAGCGATTTTCTTCAAGGCGTGTAAGTGCCACAAAGTTCAGAGAAACTACTCTGAGTATCTCTGAGTCTTCTTCATGTCATTCCGGGGTCGTTGGCAAGGACTCTTCGTGTGTCGCTGCTGAGGTCTTTCTGGCGCATCTGTATCTCTCGCCGCCCATGTATCATTTCTTGAGCCTTTCCCGAATTTTAGCACCTCGGCAGTGGCCTTTCCCTTTTGGCAGGAAGGGTTCTTAGAGCATGACTTCTTTTCCACGCCTTTTCAAAGGTCTCCAGCCCCTTTGGCACAAAACTCCTACTCGTAGCCAATCGTCAGAGCATGCTTGACAAAGCCTTTCACCATCTTCCACTACCACCTAGGATTTTGTGGGGGTGCTTTGAGTCCAGACCAAAGAGACTCGAACCTGGACGACGTCGCTGCCGTTCGGCTCAGGTCACAGGAATCTTGCCGCGCGGATGGCAATCAGAGCGAGACTGGGAAAGGAACAGAGGGGTGAACTGAATTATGCTCATCAATTTGAACATAAACCTAGACCCACTATGGTGTGCTCAGGGTGTGCGTCCGCAGGAGTGATGTCATGGCTTTCTAGTAAGGTCGATATCAGATGAGGCATGCTTTGTGGATGGACCGCTACACTTTTGAGTTTCCCCGAGGTAGTCAAGGCTTCAACGCATGGGTCGGCGCTCAACTAGGTCGTGATCTTGTGAAGTTTCCACCCAGGTTTCGCGTGATTCTGCAGCAAGAGTTGCAGGCCATTCAGTGGAGACTCGACGAGAACATGGACGTGTACCATAAATTCGGACTGGATCAGAGAGCTTGGTGGGTTGTGGTAGAAAATTGTATACTGAGATGTCTCATATTGGTTGATGTAGATTTGCTGAAAGAAGCCTGTAAATGAAGAAACAGCTTAGGAGATGCTGGAAGGATTCAGGCTTCTTGTATTCCAAAGTTCTGGAATCACCAGATGCCCCAAAGACAACCTTTTTGATCCTTCGATAGGAGCCGTCCCGCGCATCCTCGCCCTAGGATTGCTTTGCTGCAGCTGGCCATTGCCATTGCTGGCACCAGCCAGATCGATTGCAGCAGCGGAGAAGACAGGACGACGAACTGGGGCCTCTCACAACAGAGATTCTGAGTTTTACCGCTTGAGCCAGCTTGGTTCTTGTTTTGTGTTGGGTGCCTATACCATTGGCCATGGCAATAACGGTGTCGACGGTCAACAAAGATAACTATGCTTGCTTGCATCCAGAAGTGTAGGTGGGCATTGATGTACTGGCACGAACCCCGTGGATGATGATGAGGAGGATGAGGAGGATGGTGAAGAGGAGGATGAGGATAATGAGAATAAGAATAAGAGACTTTGCAAAACCGGTTCTTTGACTCTTATGCTAGTAGCAAGAAGCTACATCGCTACTAGGGTGGAGGCCATTACTAGTAACAAGAAGCTACTAGGTTGGAGGCCCTTGCTAGTAGGTTGCTTTGCTACGAACGGAGCATTTCGGGCATCGCTACGAACGGAGCATTTCGGGCATCGCTACGAACGGAACAAAGGCCATTGCTAGTAGGTTTAGGTCGAAGAACTGCTAACAACCCCTTCGCCTGGGACAGAGAACTGGGAACAAGGACCGACTGGCAGAGTCCCCCAACAGCGAATAAGGACTTACCGCTATTGTGGGTCTGTCCGATTTTTTGTAACAGTCAGTAAACAAGAACGTCACCATCTAGTTCTTGTTGAACAAGGCCTTTACTAACCATCATCGTACTAGGATAGAACCGACCGCCATTATTCACTCTTGTTTGTCACTACGAAACATTGGGCTTCCAACAAAACTCGAAGAAAGAACCACAGGATTCAACCATGGGTAAAAACTCAACTCTTCTTCGCAGTCAAGTAGCTTGTCTTGTGGATTGAGAAACACCCTCTCATTGGGATTGTAAAACCTCTCCACATGGATATTTTACCAATTCTCAATGTAGTCTGCATTAGTCCCGACTGAAAGAACCACCTCGACTCGCCACTCGACTCGTCTAGGACTACGTCGGATGCGAGTGAGTGGAAAGCTGGGATGACGATCGTGCTCGTCCTGGCGGCGCGGTCCTCAGATGTGAAATCAGCAGGTAACTTCCAATAGCTTGGAGGTGAAACGATTCCCAAGGAAGCTTCGTTCGTCTACTTTTTCTTTAAGGTCGTAGCGGTAGGAAGCTAGTAGAAGAGTTAACTACTAGCTGCGAATAAGCTACTACCTTGGACACGATAGACATACTAAAAAGCTTCTTGTTTACTTCTTTTTACTAGAAAGCTTCAAAGACATACTAAAGAGCTTCTTGTTACTAGTAGTAATGGCCTCCACCCTAGTAGCGATGGCCTCCAACCTAATAGCTTCTAGCTACTATATAGTAGCTTCTTGTTATTAGTAGTAATGGCCTCCACCCTAGTAGCGATGGCCTCCAACCTAGTAGCGATGGGAGGCTAATAGCTTTTAGCTACTAGTAGCTTTTTGTTACTAGTAGTACTTGCCTCCACCCTAGTAGCGATGGCCTCCAACCTAGTAGCGATGGCCTCCGACCTAATAGCTTTTAGCTACTAGTAGCTTTTTGTTACTAGTAGTAATTGCCTCCACCCTAGTAGCGATGGCCTCCAACCTAATAGATTCTAGCTACTAGTAGCTTCTTGTTACTAGTAGTAATTGCCTCCACCCCAGCAGATGGCCGCCAACCTAATAGCTTCTAGCTACTAGTAGCTTCTTGTTACTAGTAGTAATGGCCTCCACCCTAGTAGCGATGGCCTCCAACCTAGTAGCGATGGCCTCCGACCTAATTGCATTTTGCTACTAGTAGCTTCTTGTTACTAGAAGTAATTGCCTCCACCCTAGTAGCGATGGCCTCCAACCTAATAGCTTCTAGCTACTAGTAGTTTCTTAGATGTAACTTCCGCTGAATCCGGGGATTTCGAGAGATACGATGATAGTGCGGCCAGGGGCAGTGAGGGATTGGCTGCAGCTGAGTTTCTGAATTCACTTCAACAGTCTACACCACAAATATAACTGGTATATACATGGATAAAGGAATTGCCTATCTTCGCTCGAAAGTCTTAGAAACCATGTTCTCACAGGCACGGTGAAGGTTCGTCCCATTCTCGAAAGATAGGAAGCTTATCACGTGGAGCCGCACGGCTCAAGACTTATCATCTCTCTGCCAACGAATTCCCACACCTGCGCCACAGTGTGTTTGGAAAAAGCACCCACCGTGCAGTCGTCTTTCTGCGTGGTTTCACATGGTGAAGCGGCGTCTTTTTCAGCCAGTGTGGCTCTCAGAGTAAGTTGCCAGCAAGAAACGCAGAGTGGTCCAAGATGGCTAAGATGGCTCATGACAAAAAAGAACCTTCCAACATCCAAAAAGAGGTCACACCAGAAGATCGAAACAGTATCCAAGACCGTTTGCTCGAAGAAACATGTTTTTTCCCCAAACAGTTTACTGTTAGGGGTTCTCAATGCTTTAAAGAATGGTCGCCTTGGTGCTGGATGGTCTGGTCGGGTTCCCGGCCGGCTTGTCTCCCACTTCCTTTCATTTGTCTCCCAGTTCTTTTCATTTGTCTCCCAGGGTGGGTGCTTGTGGTCGGGTTCCCAGCTGGCTTGTCTCCCACTTCCTTTCATATGTCTCCCGCTTCTTTTCA